ATACATATATATATATATATATATATATATAATTTCTAAGGAAGTAAAATATGAGTAACATAATAAGATATTTAAATTAATTGATGATTAATATTTTCATATTCTTTTATATTTACCTTTATGCTTATACTAATGTGTCTAACAAAAGAATATTAAAATACACTATTTTACAACAAAACCAATTGGTTTCTTTATAAAATAGTCTGAAATAACAAAATGAAGTTACATCTTTACATAAAGGTGTTGTGAGTGTCCGGATGAGATTTTTTTTATATAATAAAATGCTTAATGAGAAATGTTTAACAGAGTGGCATCTTAGAGAAGTACACTAATACTTCACTGCATGCGAGCATAGAGATAAGAGAAAGAGCAACTTCACGTACTCCGGCCTTTTGGCGACATATTAGATTTTGATCAAATCAATATTTTAATTTCGAAAAATATATGAACGCATACAGAGAAGGAAATGGAAACCTAACATTAACAAATAACAAAATATGACACTCACTGATACATGGGTACAACTTACAAGCATTAATACATGGCTCTTGCTATAGCGCAGAGGTACCATATTATTATATGAAACTTGGTGACGAACTGCAACAATGTTAAACATAATTTATTGAAAAATTCAAATAGCTGTAACCCCTAGCGTATATACATGGGTGACCGGGGTTGAGTTATTGACGTAAAAGATAATATGGTGGAGCAGGTGATGATAATGGATGGTGGAATTGGAGACTTGTAGTAACATGGAGTAGTCCGTGAAGACGATGGAGGTGGTGGGACTTATAATGATACGGTGGAAGGATGAAGGACAAGATGGAGAAGTGGTGAAGGTGGGGGTAGAGATTGATCTATCTAGTAATATGGAGGAGATGGTGGAGGTGGGGACTTGTAGTCATATGCAGGAGGTGGTGGTGGAGATGAGTAGACATATGGAGGTGGTGGTGGAGATGAGTAAACATATGGAGGAGGCGGTGGAGATGAATAAACATATGGAGGTGGTGGTGGAGACTTGTAAACATATGGGGGAGGTGGTGGAGATGAATAAACATATGGTGGAGGTGGAGGTGACTTGTAAACATATGGAGGTGGAGGTGGAGATTTGTAGTAATATGGAGGTGGTGGTGGGGACGAATAAACGTATGGTGGAGGTGGAGGTGACTTGTAAACATATGGAGGTGGCGGCGGAGATTTGTAGTAATATGGAGGTGGTGGTGGGGACGAATAAACATATGGTGGAGGTGGAGGTGACTTGTAAACATATGGAGGTGGCGGCGGAGATTTATAGTAATATGGAGGAGGTGGTGGCGATGAATAAACATATGGTGGAGGAGGTGGTGACTTGTAAACATATGGTGGTGGAGGTGACTTGTAGTAATAGGGAGGTTTGTAGTAATGTGGAGGGAATTTGTGTTCATAAGGAGGTGGTGGAGGTGATTTGTAGTAATATGGAGGGAATTTGTATCCATAAGGAGGTGGAGAATTGTAGTAATATGGAGGGTATTTGTATTCATAAGAAGGTGGAGATTGATAGTAATATGGAGGAGATGGGGATTTGTAGTAATATGGAGGTGATGATTGGTAATAGTAATATGGTGGTGGTTTGTAATAGTAAGGTGGGTAGTCTTTATTATAGGGTGGTGTTGTTGGATACTTGTATGGTGGGTCTCCATAGTAAGGCTTGTCATCATCAGCAACCACCATACTAGAAATTATGCAAAATATTAGGGCATAGATGAGTCGAGGCCCCTGCCTCGGCTCACCTGAGGTTCCCATCTCTACTAGCTAGTGTGCTTCCCTTGTCTGTGCCTTATGACTTAGAAGACTTGTGGTTTATGCTTTACTTGTTGGTAAGCAAAGTAAGGATTCTAACCCTTTATATATTGTTAGCAGCTTCCATCATAAATGGGAAGATTTGTTTGTTAAATGCATTAACGGACATGGCTAAATGTTTTATAATTATATTAGACCAGGTTTTGAGGCTGATGCAACACTCTTGATTGTTTTCATTGTTTTATATATTTCAACTTGAACTCAACAAAGTCAGGTAGGGAGTTGATGATGCCATAGCTGAATAAGTACTTGATAGATTTGATCAAACATTGGAATAGCGCGTCCAACAAGGTAAATAATGAGCAAAAGGCCAAAGTGTGAAATGTTAAACGAGCATTAATTATATAATCTGTCTTATGGTTATAATTTATCTTTGGTTGTTTATTCCATATGTCAAAAATTCAGGACAGTAAAATACTAAAGTGTAACTTAAGTGCCAAAAATCAAATTAAAAATCGGGGAAATTTTTTTTTCCACATTCACTTGCATGTGGAAGCCAAGACAAATAATTGATATGATTAGTGAGTATATACATGGGGAATGCTAATATACTTCCACCTATTTTTTAGTAGGAGTATGTTAACAACTTACACCAAAATTTTATGACAAAAAAAATCACTCATTTTTTTTTATTTGGTTAATTTGTATAAAGGATATTATAGTAATTTAATTTAATTTTAAATGAAAATAAAATATTTTCTCTCTCCTATTAACTTCATTCTCTAAGTCATTTCTCTCTTGTATTAAATTTATTCTCCAACTCATTTCTCTTTCCTATTAAATTTTTTCTCTAACTTATTTATCTCTCTCTTATTAAATTTCTTCTTTAACTTATTTCTCTCTCATCTCTCATGATGTCTCCCCCCTCTCTTTCTCTAACAAATAAAAATTAATTAATATAAAAAAAATCACTCATTTCTTTTGATTTAGTTAATTCGTACAAAAGATATTATAGTAATTTAATATAATTTTAAATGAAAATAAAATATTTTCTCTCTCTTATTAATTTCATTCTCCAATTCATTTATTTTTTTTATTAATTAATTTTTATTTGTTCAGAGAGAGAGAGAGGGGGGAGACATCATGAAAGATGAGAAAGAAATGAGTTAAAGAAGAAATTTAATAGGAGAGATAAATAAGTTAGAGAAAGAATTTAATAGGAAAGAGAAATGAGTTGGAAAAAGAATTTAATAGGAGAGAAAAATGACTTAGAGAATGAAGTTAATAAGAGAAAAAAAATATTTTATTTTTATTTAAAATTAAATTAAATTACTATAATATTCTTTATACAAATTGACCAAATCAAAAGAAATAAGTGATTTTTTTGTAATAAAATTTTGGTGTAGGTTGCTAACATACTCCCACTAAAAAAATAGGTGGGAGTATATTAGCATTCCCC